GTCTCACGGGGGGTAGTGGGCAGACACCAAAAAACAATCCTCAACTAAAATGGGGTGTGGGGTTCCCCCCGCACCCCTCCCCACCCTCCCCCCCCTCCCTCCCCCCCCCCACCCGGTGCCCCCTCCGGAGGTCCCCCCCTTCCCTCCATCCGCTCTGCCCCTCCCACCCCCTTCCCACCCCCCTCCCCTCCCAACCCGCTCACTTAGACCGCAACAGCGTGGAGTGCCAGGTGCGTATCCTCAAGAAGAAGAAGGCCGGGAGCGGGAACGAAGCCGTGCAGGCTCGCCTGCATGGTGTCCCAGGTACGTGGTCTCAACCCCAAGAAGACCGAAGTGAGGAGGTGAGCGCTGATTATCCTCAACCAATGTGGGGTCCCAGGTGCGTGGTCTCAGTCGAAGAAGGCGGAGGCAGGGACGAGGCCGGAGCACTTATCCTCACCCAATATGGGGTCCCAGGTGCGTGGTCTCAGCCCGAAGAAGGCGACGAGCCCGGAGCGCTTTTCCTCAACCAATATGTTCCAGGCGCGTGCTCGGAGGCGGGAGCGCTTATCCTCAACCAATATGGGGTCCCAGGTGCGTGCTCTCGCGGACCAGGCCGGCGCAATATGGGGTTCCAGGCGCGTGGTCTCAGCCCGAAGAAGGCGGAGGCGGGGACGAGGCCGGAGCTGGGGTCCCAGGTGCGTGCTCGTCAGGGACGAGGCCGGAGCGCTTATCCTCAACCAATATGGGGTCCCAGGTGCGAAAGCGGAGGCGGGGACGAGGCCGGAGCGCTTATCCTCGACCAACGTGGAGTCCCAGGTACGCTATCTCGGCCCGAAGAAGGTGAAGGTGGGGACGAGGGCGGAGCACTTATCCTCAACCGATATGGGGTCCTAGGTGCGTGCCCTACCGCAGCGTGCATCAGTGCCAGGTGCTTGAAGCCAGAAGAAGGCGAGCTTCAAGAGGAGGCGACAACAATCTCGAAGGACTTACTCTCAGAATACGTTCTCGGCGCGTGGTCTCAACCTGAAGAAGACAGAGGCGGCGACAAGGCCGGATCGCCTATCCTCAACTGTCATGGGTTTCCAGGTTCGTGGTCTGGAGAGAACAGAAGCCGAGACCAGGCCGGAGTGCCTATCCTCAATCAATATGGGGTCCCAGGTGCGCGGTCTCAACTTGAAGAGGATGGAGGCGGGAACCAGGCCGGAGCACTTCTCCTCAACCAATATCGGGTCCTAGGTGCGTGGTCTCAACTCGAACAGGACGGAGGCGAGGAGAGGCCGGAGTGCCTATCCTCAACCAAGATAGGGTCCCAGGTGCATGGTTTCATCTTGGAGAAAAGAGAAAGGACGAGGCCTCAACCAATATGAGGTCCGAGGTGCGTGCCCCCAGCAAAAAGACGACGGAGGCAAGGACAAGGCCGGGGTTCGAAGTGCGTGGCCCCAGGAAGCTCAAGCTGAAGAAGACAGAGGTAAGAACGAGGCCGGGAGGGCTTATCCTCAACCAATATAAGTTTCCGAGGCAAGGACAAGGCCGGGAGGGCCCATCCTCAACCAATATGGGGTTCCGAGGTGTGGAAGTTCAAGCTGAAGAAGACACAGGTAGGGACAAGGCCGGGGGGGGGCTCATCCTCAACCAGTATGGGTTTCCGAGGCGTGGAAGCTCAAGCTTAAGAAGGGCAAGGACAAGGCCGGGAGGGTGTATCATCAACCAATATGGGTTTCCAAGACGTGGGGTCTCAAGCTGCAGAAGCGCAACGACAAGGCCGGGAGGGATTATCCTCAACTAGTACGGGTTTCCGAGGCGTGGAAGCTCACAAGTCGAAGAAGACAGAGGCAAGGATAAGGCCGGGAGGGTTTATACTCAACCGATGTGGGTTTCCGGGTTATGGAAGCTCCAGCCGAAGAAGACAGAGGCAGAGACAAGGCGGGAAGGCTTATCCTCAACCGGTATGGGGTTCCGAGGTGTGGAAGCTCAAGCCGAAGAAGACAGAGGCAAGGACAATCCAAGGTATGGAAGCTTGAGCCTCAACCAATGTGGTTGCCGAGGTGTGTGGTCTCAGCGACAAGGCCGAGAGAACAATCCTCAACTAAAATGGGGTGTGGGGTCTTCCCCCCGCCCCCCTCCCCCTGAGCGCCCTCCCCCCCTCCTCCTGGGGCGGGAGGGTAGTGGGCAGACACCAACAATCCTCAACTGAAATGGGGTGTTGGTTCCCACCCCCCGGGCCCCTCCCCCACCCTCCCCCCTTCCCTCCCCCTCCCCACCCGGTGCCTCCTCCGGGGGGGTGGCACGAGTCTCACGGGGGGGTAGTGGGCAATCCTCAACTAAAATGGGGGGCCCCCCCCCCCCCACCCGGTGCCCCCTCCGGAGGGTCCCCCCGCTCCCTCCCCCCCTTCCCTCCCTCCCCTTCCCTCCCCCGAACCCCGCACCGCAAGGCAGTGACCTCCCCACCCTCCTCCCCTCAACCCGCTCACTTAGACCGCAACCAGCGTAGAGTGCCAGGTGCGTATCCTCAAGAAGAAGAAGGCCGGGAGCGGGAACGAAGCCGTGCAGGCTCGCCTGCATGGTGTCCCAGGTACGTGGTCCCAACCCCAAGAGACCGAAGTGAGGATGAGCGCTGATTATCCTCAACCAATGTGGGGTTCCAGGTGCGTGGTCTCAGTCGAAGAAGGCGGAGGCAGGGACGAGGCCGGAGCACTCATCCTCAACCAATATGGGGTCCCAGGTGCGTGGTCTCAGCCCGAAGAAGGCGACGAGGCCGGAGCGCTTATCCTCAACCAATATGTTCCAGGCGCGTGCTCGGAGGCGGGAGCGCTTATCCTCAACCAATATGGGGTCCCAGGTGCGTGCTCTCGCGGACCAGGCCGGCGCAATATGGGGTTCCAGGCGCGTGGTCTCAGCCCGAAGAAGGCGGAGGCGGGGACGAGGCCGGAGCTGGGGTCCCAGGTGCGTGCTCGGCAGGGACGAGGCCGGAGCGCTTATCCTCAACCAATATGGGGTCCCAGGTGCGAAAGCGGAGGCGGGGACGAGGCCGGAGCGCTTATCCTCGACCAACGTGGAGTCCCAGGTACGCGATCTCGGCCCGAAGAAGGTGAAGGTGGGGACGAGGGCGGAGCACTTATCCTCAACCGATATGGGGTCCTAGGTGCGCGCCCTACCGCAGCGTGCATCAGTGCCAGGTGCTTGAAGCCAGAAGAAGGCGAGCTTCAAGAGGAGGCGACAACAGGCTCGAAGGACTTACTCTCAGAATACGTTCTCGGCGCGTGGTCTCAACCTGAAGAAGACGGAGGCGGCGACAAGGCCGGATCGCCTATCCTCAACTGTCATGGGTTCCCAGGTTCGTGGTCTGGAGAGAACAGAAGCCGAGACCAGGCCGGAGTGCCTATCCTCAAGCAATATGGGGTCCCAGGTGCGCGGTCTCAACTTGAAGAGGATGGAGGCGGGAACCAGGCCGGAGCACTTGTCCTCAACCAATATCGGGTCCGAGGTGCGTGGTCTCAACTCGAACAGGACGGAGGCGAGGAGAGGCCGGAGTACCTATGCAAGGACAAGGCTGGGAGGGCCCATCCTCAACCAACATGGGGTTCCGAGGTGCGGAAGTTCAAGCTGAAGAAGACACAGGTAGGGACACGGCCGGGGGGGGGGCTCATCCTCAACCAGTATGGGTTTCCGAGGCGTGAAAGCTCAAGCTGAAGAAGACAGGGGCAGGGACAAGGCCGGGAGGGCTCATCCTCAACCAATATGGGGTTCCGAGGTGTGGAAGTTCAAGCTGAAGAAGACAGAGGCAGGGACAAGGCCGGGGGTGAGCCATCCTCAACCAATATGGGTTTCCGAGGCGTGGAAGCTCAAGCTGAAGAAGGGCAAGGACAAGGCCGGGAGGGTTTATCATCAACCAATATGGGTTTCCAAGACGTGGCGTCTCAAGCTGCAGAAGCGCAACGACAAGGCCGGGAGGGTTTATCCTCAACCAGTATGGGTTTCCGAGGTGTGGAAGCTCACAAGTCGAAGAAGACAGAGGCAAGGCCGGGAGGGCTTATCCTCAAACCAATGGGTTTCCGAGGCGTGGAAGCTCAAGCTGAAGAAGAATATCCTCAACCAATATGGGTTTCCGAGGCGTGGAAGCTCAAGCTGAAGGAGACGGAGGCAAGGACAAGGCCGGGAGAGCTTCTCCTCAACCAATATGGGTTTCCGAGGCGTAGAAGCTCAAGCTGAAGAAGACAGAGGCAAGGACAAGGCCGGGAGGACTTATCCTCAACCAATATGGGTTTCCGAGGCGTGGAAGCTCAAGATGAAGAAGGGCAAGAACAAGGCCGGGAGGGTTTATCCCCAACCAATATGGGTTTCCCTCAAGCTGCAGAAGGGCAACGACAAGGCCGGGAGAGTGTATCCTCAACCAATATGGGTTTCCGAGGCGTAGAAGGCTCAAGCTGAAGAAAAGAAGAATATCCTCAACCAATATGGGTTTCCGAGGCGTGGAAGCTCAAGCTGAAGGAGACGGAGGCAAGGACAAGGCCGGGAGAGCTTCTCCTCAACCAATATGGGTTTCCGAGGCGTAGAAGCTCAAGCTGAAGAAGACAGAGGCAAGGACAAGGCCGGGAGGACTTATCCTCAACCAATATGGGTTTCCGAGGCGTGGAAGCTCAAGCTGAAGAAGGGCAAGAACAAGGCCGGGAGGGTTTATCCCCAACCAATATGGGTTTCCCTCAAGCTGCAGAAGGGCAACGACAAGGCCGGGAGAGTGTATCCTCAACCAATATGGGTTTCCGAGGCATGAAGGCTCAAGCTGAAGAAGACAGAGGCAAGGACAAGGCCGGGAGAGGGTATCCTCAACCAGGAGAAGACAGAGGCAAGGACACGACCGGGAGGGCTTATCCTCAACCAATATGGGTTTCCGAGGCGTGGACGCTCAAGCGGAAGAAGACAGAGGCAAGGAGGAGGCCGGGAGGGCCTGAAGAAGACAGAGGCGGCGACAAGGCCGGATCGCCTATCCTCAACTGTCATGGGTTCCCAGGTTCGTGGTCTGGAGAGAACAGAAGCCGAGACCAGGCCGGAGTGCCTATCCTCAGTCAATATGGGGTCCCAGGTGCGCGGTCTCAACTTGAAGAGGATGGAGGCGGGAACCAGGCCGGAGCACTTCTCCTCAACCAATATCGGGTCCGAGGGGCGTGGTCTCAACTCGAACAGGACGGAGGCGAGGAGAGGCCGGAGTGCCTATCCTCAACCAAGATAGGGTCCCAGGTGCATGGTTTCATCTTGGGGAAAAGAGAAAGGACGAGGCCTCAACCAATATGAGGTCCGAGGTGCGTGACCCCAGCAAAAAGACGACGGAGGCAAGGACAAGGCCGGGGTTCGAAGTGCGTGGCCCCAGGAAGCTCAAGCTGAAGAAGACAGAGGTAAGAACGAGGCCGGGAGGGCTTATCCTCAACCACTATAAGTTTCCGAGGCAAGGACAAGGCCGGGAGGGCCCATCCTCAACCAACATGGGGTTCCGAGGTGTGGAAGTTCAAGCTGAAGAAGACACAGGTAGGGACAAGGCCGGGTGGGGGCTCATCCTCAACCAGTATGGGTTTCCGAGGCGTGGAAGCTCAAGCTGAAGAAGGGCAAGGACAAGGCCGGGAGGGTGTATCATCAACCAATATGGGTTTCCAAGACGTGGGGTCTCAAGCTGCAGAAGCGCAACGACAAGGCCGGGAGGGTTTATCCTCAACTAGTACGGGTGTCCGAGGCGTGGAAGCTCACAAGTCGAAGAAGACAGAGGCAAGGATAAGGCCGGGAGGGTTTATACTCAACCGATGTGGGTTTCCGGGGTATGGAAGCTCCAGCCGAAGAAGACAGAGGCAGAGACAAGGCGGGAAGGCTTATCCTCAACCGGTATGGGGTTCCGATGTGTGGAAGCTCAAGCCGAAGAAGACAGAGGCAAGGACAATCCAAGGTATGGAAGCTTGAGCCTCAACCAATGTGGTTGCCGAGGTGTGTGGTCTCAGCGACAAGGCCGAGAGAACAATCCTCAACTAAAATGGGGTGTGGGGTCTTCCCCCCGCCCCCCCTCCCCCTGAGCGCCCTCCCCCCTCCTCCTGGGGCGGGAGGGTAGTGGGCAGACACCAAAAAACAATCCTCAACTGAAATGGGGTGTTGGTTCCCACCCCTCCCCGGCCCCCTCCCCCACCCTCCCCCTTCCCTCCCCCTCCCCACCCGGTGCCTCCTCCGGGGGGTTGGCACGAGTCTCACGGGGGGTAGTGGGCAGACACCAAAAAACAATCCTCAACTAAAATGGGGTGTGGGCCCCCGCACCCCTCCCCACCCTCCCCCCCCTCCCCCCCACCCGGTGCCCCCTCCGGAGGGTCCCCCCGCTCCCTCCCCCCCTTCCCTCCCTCCCCTTCCCTCCCCCGAACCCCGCACCGCAAGGCAGTGACCTCCCCACCCTCCTCCCCTCCCAACCCGCTCACTTAGACCGCAACCAGCGTGGAGTGCCAGGTGCGTATCCTCAAGAAGAAAAAGGCCGGGAGCGGGAACGAAGCCGTGCAGGCTCGCCTGCATGGTGTCCCAGGTACGTGGTCCCAACCCCAAGAGGTCCCAGGTGCGTGGTCTCAGTCGAAGAAGGCGGAGGCAGGGACGAGGCCGGAGCACTTATCCTCACCCAATATGGGGTCCCAGGTGCGTGGTCTCAGCCCGAAGAAGGCGACGAGGCCGGAGCGCTTTTCTTCAACCAATATGTTCCAGGCGCGTGCTCGGAGGCGGGAGCGCTTATCCTCAACCAATATGGGGTCCCAGGTGCGTGCTCTCGCGGACCAGGCCGGCGCAATATGGGGTTCCAGGCGCGTGGTCTCAGCCCGAAGAAGGCGGAGGCGGGGACGAGGCCGGAGCTGGTGTCCCAGGTGCGTGCTCGGCAGGGACGAGGCCGGAGCGCTTATCCTCAACCAATAAGGGGTCCCAGGTGCGAAAGCGGAGGCGGGGACGAGGCCGGAGCGCTTATCCTCGACCAACGTGGAGTCCCAGGTACGCGATCTCGGCCCGAAGCAGGTGAAGGTGGGGACGAGGGCGGAGCACTTATCCTCAACCGATATGGGGTCCTAGGTGCGCGCCCTACCGCAGCGTGCATCAGTGCCAGGTGCTTGAAGCCAGAAGAAGGCGAGCTTCAAGAGGAGGCGACAACATGCTCGAAGGACTTACTCTCAGAATACGTTCTCGGCGCGTGGTCTCAACCTGAAGAAGACGGAGGCGGCGACAAGGCCGGATCGCCTATCCTCAACTGTCATAGGTTCCCAGGTTCGTGGTCTGGAGAGAACAGAAGCCGAGACCAGGCCGGAGTGCCTATCCTCAAGCAATATGGGGTCCCAGGTGCGCGGTCTCAACTTGAAGAGGATGGAGGCGGGAACCAGGCCGGAGCACTTGTCCTCAACCAATATCGGGTCCGAGGTGCGTGGTCTCAACTCGAACAGGACGGAGGCGAGGAGAGACCGGAGTACCTATGCAAGGACAAGGCTGGGAGGGCCCATCCTCAACCAACATGGGGTTCCGAGGTGCGGAAGTTCAAGCTGAAGAAGACACAGGTAGGGACACGGCCGGGGGGGGGGCTCCTCCTCAACCAGTATGGGTTTCCGAGGCGTGAAAGCTCAAGCTGAAGAAGACAGGGGCAGGGACAAGGCCGGGAGGGCTCATCCTCAACCAATATGGGGTTCCAAAGCAAAGGCTAAAGCCAAAGCCAAGGGCACAGCCAAAGCCAAAGGCCAGAACCAAGCCACAGCCAAGACCCAAGCCAAAGGCAAGAGCACCAACGCAAAACCCAGACTCATGCTCGCAGCCACCATTGCATCCAAGAGACCAGCCACGGACAGCTCCCCAGCAACTGCGCCAGCTGCCAAAGTGGCCAAAATGTACGGTCGAGAACAGCCTGGGTCAGAGGCGGCAGGTCGGGAACCGCGATTCTTCGAGCGTCAGGAAGCGCTCCGGTGCGGCCTCCACGCTTTGAACAATGCCCTCGGGGCTCATTGCATTGACGCGGTCGACATGCCCCGAGCTGCCAAAGCCTTTCTGGACGAGAATTTCGAGCTTGGCGACAACATGCAGGACCATCTAGAAGCTCAGGGGGACTATTCGATCGAAATCATGAGCATGGTCCTGAGAACCAAGGCGATGGAAGAGTTCGGACAACTACGTTGGCAGATGGACATCCAGCGTGCCACGACCGCCCGAGACCTGCACGGCTGCATTGGCGCGGTGGTGAACCTTGAAGGTCGGCACTGGGTGGCTGTGAGGCCTCTAGAGCACTGCTTCCTCTACCTGGATTCCATGCAGGAGCAGCCGCAGGAGCTTAGCGATGGAGAACTGGACGCCCTTCTTGTGGTGCACCCGACCTACGCACTGAGGCACATTTGAAAGGCCAGCGCGGCTTCTGAGGCTGCACCAGCACAAGGCGGCAGCAACGTAGTACAGGCGCAGACCGCGACCAGCAAAAAGAGAGTAGTGCGTTGCCAGGGCTTGTCTGTCACATGTGAAGCATGTCCGAAACTGCGGCGACACAGGGACCGTTTTGCAGTGCACTCACAGCATCAACGCTGCCGTCCCCGCCATGGGCTCAACATCTTGATTCCCGGTGGGTCTTTATCGTGTGCTGGTTTCGAGTCAGCTCCGTGACTGCAGATAGACAACAGTTACCTACTAAGCCTTCCCTGTCACATGGACACCAAACGTTCTGTCCTGCTTGCAGGCATTGATTTCCCTGTTGCATGGACACCACATGTTCTATCCTGCTTGCAGGTGTTGGTCTCTGTTCCCAAGCTGCCT